CTCTCTCTCTCTCTCACACACACACACACTTGCGCGCACACATACACATATCTATGGGGTGAATTTGTATTTGCAGATACATCCCATTTTGTTCAAAAAACACACAATTTAGAAAGTCAGTCAATGTGATATTTTAGAAATTCCTCCTTTAGAAATTAAACCAGTCTGACTCCAAACGAAAACACAAACAGATTCTAAACAAGGTCTCTCACCCAATGTGCATTGACTGACCTAAAATGTCACCTCTTCATTACACTGACAAAACCTTTAGTTCTCTCAGGACCAAGACTTGAAAGAAATTCAGAGATTCAATTTACACATGCAAAATTAATCAGTTAAAACCTTCTAACTGATCAAAGATTTAACAGCATCTTAGTTTTGTTTAATACATCCTTATCAGTTATGTGACCCTTTGAGCTTTTACTTATAAATTCTGTGTCTGATACTAACCCTCTCGCTGACACCTGAAGAAGGAGCAAGGCTCTGAAAGCTTGTGTTTTCAAATAAACCTGTTGGACTATAACCTGGTGTCGTGTGATTTCTGACCTTGTCTCCCTCTCTCTGTCAGGGATCCCGTTCAAAGAGGGAGTCTCTCTCTCTCTGTCTGTCAGGGACCCTGTTTAAAGAGGGTGTGTCTCTCTCTCTCTCTCTCTCTCTCACTGTCAGGGACCCTGTTTAAAGAGGGAGTCTCTCTCCCTCTCTAGGTTATGTTAGCCGATTGGCTGGGTCCTGCTGTGTATATTCTGGGATGATGACAGGCCGTGTTATCCCGTTTGGCAGTGAGTCTGTGCCCACGGATGAGGTGGAGAGTCCAGTCTTTGAGTTGGAGCAAGATGCTGTGACAATGGACTCAGGTGGGACAGAGAGTGTGGCAGAGGGACCAGTCGAAGAGACCAGGAGCACTGAGGGGAGCGAGAAGGACACACAGCAAGATCCCAAAGATTCCCAAATGCAGGAAGAACCTGACAGACCTAAGAGCATCGACTTCTCCTTCTTGCTGGTGAGTGACCATCAGAGGGTCGGCGCTGAGGGAGCGCCGCAGTGTCGGAGGGTCGGCGCTGAGGGAGCGCCGCAGTGTCGGCGCTGAGGGAGCGCCGCAGTGTCGGAGGGTCGGGTCTGAGGGAGCGCCGTAGTGTCGGAGGGTCAGCGCTGAGGGAACTGTCGGAGGGGCA